TAATTTAGTTACTATGCTCTGGGACCATGATGAAACTCAGCTGGGTTGATTTCCTAGTGAAATGCCATGGAGCAGGTTGGGGTAAGCTTGCTGAGCGGCAGGGCTTGGGTTCTTTCCTTTGTAAGATCTCCTAGGTTAGCCCCAGGCCTCTGAATCAAAGGAAATGGAGAAAAGGGTGGGTGGGTTGGGGGGTCCACCCCTTCAGCAAATGCTGGGAGACAACACGAGTCTCAGAGGAACTGTTTGTCATTTATCATGGAGCCAGCTCCACCTACAAGGCTGAGGAATATATTTACATATTTCAATTCCATTGCTGGCTGGAGCACTACAGAAAGCGATGATTCCAAGACAGCCAGGGAAGAAAAATGTTCTTGGAAAAAGGATATGCCTATCAGTTCAGCAGAACAGCTCAGAGTTATGCAAATCCCCTGCTTGAGGTTTGTTTTGCATGCTACCTTCCTCTACCACCTCAGTTCCTAAGGCTGTAAGGGCCTGCAAAGTTAACAGCCGGATTCTGGTTAAAAAGATGTAGACAACACAGTTTACCACATTGCTTTTCATGGTTACAGAAATCTTGGTCATGTATGTGCATGTGACCCTGCAATCATACTTTTTAGGAATTTGCAGGAAATAGTAACTTTTCATAGAATGTACAAGGGTGATTACTGCAGTTTTTTTATAATAACAAACTAAAAGTAAACAATGAGTCAAAAAATGGTACTGGATAAAAAAGTATGCCATATTAAAACACTGGGGTTCTAGCTAGTCATTAAAAATGTTGCCACTGGGGAAAAATTTATAAAGTGGATAGAACTTTGCATGCTTTGTCATTAAATAGAAAAATAAGCATTCAAAATACTGAGGTCTTATTTTTCTTTTTTTCCATGTCCTCAGAGAATTTATGGTCTTGTTTGAAGAACACATATAATTACCCAAAACAATTATATATATGCAAATGTGATTAAGTGTTCTAGGAAACTAGATAAACTAAATCCCATTTTTAATGATAACCCATGAGTCTATATTTAACAAAGATGATCTCATGTTTCCAAGTTCATAAAGAAAAGTCATGATACAATCTAAAATGTTGCAAAACTTACCTTACTTTCACTTTTCTGGACACTGTCTGAATTACCATAGTGACCACATACTACTTAGGTAATTAAAATAAAGACAAAAGAGCAATAGATTGTTTCAACTGATGCTTTCCTTGTAGAGGAGGATAAGTTCAGGGACCCTGGTTTGCTTGGCTTCCTGGGATCTGTTGCATGTTAACTTTTCAAGCAGCTCCCGCACCTGCCTGCCAGTACAAAGCAAAGATGGAGTGATTCAGCTTTCAGCCACAATAAGCCAGGCCGGTAGACCATGTAAGAAGGCAGGTAAAAATCGGCCCCTTAGATCTAAAAATGATGTTGATTTACCCAGCTAGGCCCTTGAAATCAAATCTGCAAAGAGGTGATTTAAATCCCATTGTTCTTTTGTTTCACTTTTAAGATTAATGGACGTGGGAGAAAGTACTGGAACCAGAAGAACCAAAGGCTTGGGATTAGTAGAGGAGCTGTCTGCTAGAATAGGACAGGCCTCTGAGCACTCAGGTGAGGATGAGCACAACTGTATTTTCACAGAATCTCATTTTCCTTCAACCTCTTATCACAGTTCAAGAGTGAGAGCTGGCATCTTAAATTGAGTGTCTTGCTTGTGTGGACTAACAATCTTTATCTTTAATTCCTAATCACCTCTTTCCCACAGTTGTAACTTTTGATCTGGAAATATCGGGTTATATAACATGCCAATCTACACAAGGCTATAATTCTGTCAGAAAAAGGGACCTGACGAAGCACACATTCTAACAAAACTAGAAATGACTTTTCTAAGAAAAGAGATGATATTTTTGTTCCAAGCATTTGAAGCTCGTTTTAAATAGACTTTGAATGCAATGTTGCTGGTTCTCTCGGAGCAGTTGATTTCCCTGCCCAACCTCATCGAACAAACATACAGTATTGGACAGGAATGAAAGAAGTAGAAGGGAATGATCATGCATCTGTGAGCAGACCAAAGTTGTGTGGATATTGTCTTAGTTACTTTTCTCTTCTTGCTGAGGCAAAATGCCTGACACCCAAAGTTAAAGGAAGAAAGGTTTATTTAGCTCACAGTTCAGAGGTTTCAGTCCATAATTAGCTGGCTCCAAGGCAGCATATCATGGCACTGAGGCAACTGCTCTTGGTAGTGGAAGATAGCAAAAACAACAAGAGAGGGGAGCGACAAGCCTCTCTCTGTCCCTTATATTGTAAGCAGGCTACCTGCCCTAGGTCAGGTGTAGCACTCACAGCCTTAATCCCAGCATTGGAGCAGGAATCATTCACAAACTCTAGATTTAGTCACCTCTGAAAAGCCTGTCCTCTGTGACTGCATGAGGCTTTGGGGGGACATCTAGACAAATCCTAACAGATATTATCCTTGCAGTGTTGTAAATTAGGTGATATTGTCCTGTTTTACAGGGGAGACAACTGAGTTGCCAAAACTAACTTGCCTAAAGCCATTTAGCCTCAATTCTAACTCAACAAGTTAAGGGGCTTAAATCACTTTCTACCGACTTACAACCCCTAAAACAACAAAAGATTGAAGAGATCAGACCACATAGAATCAAACTACTGGAGAATTCCTTGAAAATGAAACTGCCCACTGTCACAATCCCCAGCCCTCTGCTGGAACATCCACAGGGTGGGGGAGCTCAGTCTCATATCCCAGATCTTCCTCCTCACTGTACAACTGCACTCCTGGCCGCCGCGTTCCAGCCTGAGAGGAACTGCACTCCTGTGATTCCTCTTTAGGCCCAGCACTTGTTCTAGACACACACCCCCAGTTCATTAGGTGGGTTCTCTGCTTACTGCTCTCATTCTATCTCCATCCACGAAAAGAAGCCTTGATAAGCATAAGATATTGGCAGGCGAAGAAGCTGACAAATCTCTCTAGAAAACAGAGCCTCTCCATCCTTGATGCCTTCTCCAACCCCAGAAGATGGTGATTTCACAAGCCACCCTGCATTCTACGTCTCTCACATAACGATGCATGCTGAGAATAGAAGCGTTCCTGAACCTGTCCCCTAAAATCAGGGGAACATCCAAGCCTGAAGGACCTGGAGCCGTCCATCTCCCCATTCACAAAGACCACTGCAGGCAGAGCCCCGCTAAGAGCAGACTGCGTTTAGTGGGCTGAGTGGCCCAGTCCCACTAGGTAGAAGGGCTTCCCTTCATCGCCCTGACCAGAGAAAACAGATTCTTTGTCATCTTCCTCTTAATGCTTAGAAATAGGGAATCCCGTTTTTGCCTTCTGTCTAGTCTCCCCAACACGAGCGCGCACGCGGAGAAAACTTGCTCCCACCGCCGCCACCTGTGAAAACACCCCTCCTAACTTTGGCAAAGAACGCTTGGGGGCAAAGGCAAGCGGCTGGACGCCCGGAGTGCTAGAAGTCTCAAGGAAGAGGGTCAGGTAGCCTTGGGGAAAAGGCGGGGCGGGAACCCCAACCCTGCGGCTCTAGGGCTGGAACGTGGCCGCCAGGGTTCCGGTTCGCAGTCCAGGCCCCACCAGCTAGGTAGCCCCCTCCCCAGGCGTCGGCACCAGCTCAGGCAGCCGAGGAGCCCAAGGACCCCGAGGAGCAGCCCACGCTGGCGGAGAACGCAATCTGGGCCCCGGTAAACCGCAAGTGGCTGGAGGGGAGCAGGGCCACGTGGAGCCATCTGCAGGGCTGAGGAGCCGGGACAAGCGAGCCCAGCGCGCTAGGAAACAGGTTGCAGCCGAGCCCATACCCTCCATCCCGCCGCCCAATCGCCCCACTGCGACCCGATGCCTGCCCTGCTCGGGGAGCGAACCCAGCCTCCTTTGGGGCGCCCTTCTCTTTGGACCCTCGCGTCCCACCCAGAGCCCCTTGGACAGGCTGGGTAAAGGCGCCTTCAGCAAGGTCAAGGCGCGGCCGGCCGGCACCTAGGGAATTTTCTCAGTCAAGCATTGGCTTTGCGATCGCATTGTTAAGGATCATGGCAGCGGCAGGAAATCCGAACGGCCCCACCGGTCTGTGCGAGGGAGGATTTATTTTACAGCGCCAAACACACTCAGACAGACCCGGGATTTCAGGGGGGAGGGGATGCGGTGTTCCAGACTCTGGAATGTGGCAAAAACAAAACACTCCCCAACCGTACACACCATCATCTACTGACTCAGTGGTGGGGGGTGGTTCAGGGCCACTGAACCCCAGACTCCAGCGTTCCGCAGAGATCTGTCGGGGCTGGGCTGGCTTATCTTTCTACAGGCAGAAAACAAGATTTTAAAACACTCTCCTACTGTGGTTTTCCTATCAAAGCCCATCAACGTGCTACAGGCTGCTGCGGCGAAAGAAGGGGAAGAGAGATGGGGAAAATAAACGCAGTAGAAGAAAACTGCGCTCCGCGGAGGGGAAGGCGAGGGGACGGGTGGAGGCCATACCTGCACCCAGCTCCATCCCATTCCCAAGAGAGCAGGGCTGGCCCAGGAAGCCAGGATGAAGTGCACGATGGTGGCCGCCCCGGGTACAGGCCAGCGCTCTACTCCTTACCCCATCTCTCGCTGAACTGGGCCTGGATGCCTGGACACCTGGGCACCTCTAGGAGGGACCTGGCATAGCGGGCACGTCTCTAAACACGCGAAGGGCCCCGCGTGTGGAAGAGGGGGAAGGGCGCGCAGAGAAGCCGAGGAGCGAATCTTTGGGGCTCCCTAGAACACAGTCATTTTCCTAAAACGCTCTTGCCCAGAAGGCCTTCCAACACTCCCGAGGGAAGGAGGCGGGGGCTCGAGGACACAAGGAAACCTAAATTCTGACTGCTTCTCCTCTCAGATGGGTCCTGGATCCCCACCCATTCGGTCCCTGCCTCTGTAACCGGTTCTTTGAGGGCCTTCGCAGAAGTGGGCGCCGGGTATTAGGCGTCCCCAGCTCTCCACTCTCCAAGTAGACGCGCCCAGGTACTTACGTTCCCCAAGCAGGAAAACTTTCAGGCTTGTCTTTCCACAGCCGAGTGCTGGTGTCACAGCTCTGGGTAAACACCGAGGCTGCTTATATAATTGTCCGCGATCTCGCTCGCTACGGGGTCGCGCAGCTCAACACATGGGCACCCTCTGCCCGGGGCCCTCGGGATCGCGAGCTGCCCCACCGGCGCGTTCTACAAAGCAGCAGAGCGACCTCCTGAGCTAGTCAAACGCCAAGTGTGTACGCAGATTCCGGCAAAACCTCGGCTGCTTTCCTGCGCCCCTTTTGCTGCGTTCGTAGCTCACGGTTAACTGCATCTCTACAAACCTTCTCGCCGGGGATGGGGAGGGGGGCAGGGCCTGGGTGGGCGATTGGAGCAGTTTGGTGAGTGCGCTCAGTCCCCCCTGAGTTACACTGTCATCCACATGGACCGGGGCACAAGAATCGCCTTCACGTCTTGCCGGGAGTGAAGAGCCAATTTCCAAAGTTAGAGACCACGCAGTTGAATTTCCAGTACTTTCCAACCTCGCCTAGACCGGGGTAGGGCAGAGAAGGCGCAAGGATTGGCCAGGGAAGTCCACCCTACAGACCTGCCAAGGACTGTCTATTTGACCCCCTCCACACGCGCACACACATCCTTTCCCCAAGTAGTTGGCCGTGTATTTCTTGGTTGCGTGTACACACCCACACACACATACATACACACACACACACACACACACACTCCGTGCAACCACCTTTCCCAATGCCGCTCCAATATAAAGACTGCATTTTTAAATCGCAAGGAAAATGACTAAGGAGCTCAGTGATCACGTATCAGCACACTCCCCGAAGCTGGGTGTGCGTGGAATCACACTCACTCCCGGGAGACCCCCAGAGCGTCCGCAGCCTCAGTTCGCTCGGAGGTGAACGTGAACACCGCAGCCAGGAGAAGCGGGCTCCGCGCGGGATGCAGAGGGCGCGCGACTCGGATAGCGTCTCCAGGTTCCGGGCTCCAACCGCAGCGCGTGGGGCCGCTGCAGCGGGCGCTCGCCCCGCAGGCAGGCTGCAGCGCTGGAGCCCGGCGCCGCCCCGGGGGCTCCTCCAGCGCCCGCCGGGAGTCTGGGGCGGGCGGATCTGCAGAGGGGCTGCGACGACTGGGCCGTGGCGGAGAAGGGGAGCCGGGCGCCGCAGACGAACCTGGGGCGCGCCGCCTCTCTCCCACCCTACCTCTGGAGTACCCGGCCGGCGCCCACGTCTCTGCACTACCCCAACACCCGCTGCCAGCCTCCGGTCTGCGGCGGAGACTCAGGACTCCGAGCTGGCGTGCCTAGCCGGCCACCTCGCCTCCCTCCCTCCCCCGGTGCGGGCCAGGGGAGCAGGCGCATCTCCCTGAGCCCTCGGCTGCCGCTTGAGCTGCCCGGACCTGCGAGCGCAGAGGGGCGACAGAGCCGGCCAGGAGCCGCCGCGGTCCCCGAGGCGCTTTTCCGTGGAGCGGATCACGCCGCCTTACCGTGGCTGCAGGCTGCCTCCGCCGGGGGAGCCGGGGGGAGGGCGGCAGCGAGGCAAGGCGCAGCGCCGGTGGCTCCTCTTGCCCTCCGCGGCGCGGCTCCTCGGCTCCGCGAGCCCGAGCGGGGCGCCCGAGAAGGAGCAGGTCCCGGCTCTGCGCTCAGCTCCAGCGAGACCAACAATAGCTCCCGCGGGGAGCGGAGCCCCGGCGAGCCTCCGGCCGCGCGCACACACACGCCCGGCTCCCGCTCCCGGCCGCTCCCGGCCGGCGTCCCTGCCAGCACTGCTGCCCCACATGAAACAGCTGCAATCCCGAGGCTTCTGGGGGGTTGGGTCGGTGTGTGCGCGCGCGTCTGTGTGTGAGTGTGTGTTTAATAGCTTCCCTTCTCTTCTTCCCCTCCCTGCCTGCCGCCTGCCTGCCTCCGTCCCCCACCCTCGCTCTCTTACACACAGAGGGCGAGCGAGAGAGGCACACACGCACTCACACACAAACGCACACGCAGGTTACATGAATGGGAGGCTGGAGCCAATCCTGCGAGGCCCGGGCGAGCCGCAGCGCACGGGCGCTTGGAGCAAGGCCGCGCCACGGCGCAGGGGGGCGCCACGCAGGGGACGCGCGGCTCGCCCGGGGTCACTCGCCCGTCTCTCCGCTTACCCCGTCTCTCTGTTGTCTACAATGTCTTCCCTCTCTTCTTTCTTCCCTTCTCTCTTTCTATCCAGGTTTCTCTCTGGAATTCTCAGAGCTCTCTCAATCCAGTATCTTCCTCCGTCTGTTCTTTACACTCCTTGTTTTCTTTCTCGCTTCCCTTTCTAAAACTTTCTCTTGCCTGTTCCCACTTTGCTCGGCCGCCTCCCCTTTCCTCCCTCACTGGCGTTCTCCTTTGCGTCTCTGTGATGTTGGGTGTTTTTCTCCCTTTCCCCACGTCTCTCTGGGGCCCTGGTCTCCCTCCTTCCTACCCCCTGGATGTTACTCCGTAAGCCCCAACACTTTTCCAAGAATATTCTGCCTTCCAGTTCCTCTTGCAGCACAACCAGATGTAAGGGCTGAGAACTGGAGTTTCTTCTTCAGGCAAACAAGATGCCCAAAGAAAGGTCCTTCTTCCTCGCACTTCCGCAAAACCATGGGGACAACCTCCCCAAAACCATGGTAACAGCTACTGAATCGTGATAAACAATTATGGGGGGAGGGGAAGGAAAGAAAGAAAGCAGCACATGTGGTCTAAGAGCTTTCTGTCCCTCGAGTGTCTGGATCGCGATCACCAGCACAATGCCAAGAGAAGGGCATCTTTCTGTGATGGGAGAGGCGGCTTAGCAAATCTGCAGATTGCAAAGGCTTTGGAGAAATGGAGGAATTCCTTCTTAAGCCTGCTGTATACTAGCTGTAGGACTCAGTGCAAGCCCTTTCCCTCACTCAGCTTGGGTTTTCTCATCTGTAAAGGGATCACAGGTACCTGACTCATACTAAGGACTAGAGGAGAGAACAACGGAATGCAAGCGCTGGGCATAGAAGATGCTCAGTTAATGTTAGGTTCCTTCCCTCCCACCCCCTTTAAAAATAATCTGCTACATCATGCCTTTATAATCTAAAGTATTTAAGGAAGGAGGAAATAGGACAATGCTAATTTCAGACAAGTGTGAAGGGAGAGGTAGGTGATTTTGAAAACTCTATTATACTATGTGGTGTGCAGACTGTCTAGCTGGTTACCATATGCTGATTACAGAGTCATCACAGATTCTAATCTTGGGCTATTGGATGGTCCTTCAGTAGCTCCTGAATGAGGCATATGGAAAGGCAAGGGTGGGGGGGAGGTTTCCTCCCACCTTGTCCAATCTATTTTTTAAATCTTCATGATCAGGGAACGCCAACCAGTGAGAAAGCCTCTGAGGCTACTACCTAAAATGTCAAGCCTCTGCATTTATTAATTGCACATCCTCGCTAGAGACATCAAATTCTGGTACCAGCTGTAATTGGCAGTCAGATTCAGTCCTTCACCAAATATTTATTGACCACCTATTCTGTGGCAGGTGTGTGATGATGGGTTCTAGGAATTTAGGAGTGAGTCTGAGGCTCTGCCTTCTGAACTCACAAAGCCCTAGACACAGCTCATAAATATATAAGAAGAAGAAGAAGAGAAGTAATCTCAGGGAAATGTTATTTGTTCAGTGGACAAATCTTACAAATCATGAGGTCCAATACAAGGGGGAAATAAAGGGATACTTGAAACTAAAACACTGGGGAGTCATTTTCAGGCCATACACCTCCTTCGTCTGATGACAAAACAGAACCAGATGCTAAAGGTAGAGGGTGGAAATATGGTAAGAAACAAGGTATTTCCACTGTCTCTAAGTATCTCCACATCAGACACTGGTCTTTTCAAAGGGGAAAATAGTAGATTCAAAGCAGAAAAACCTGGCACGCTGCACTTTAATCACGGGACTAAAGTCTCAACATTACCAATAGATATGTGGCCCCTAAAGTGTCATACTGAAGACATAATGTCACTGCTGTGTCATCTCTGCTAGAAATAAATAACCTGAATCTAATCATAGAGACACATCAGCTAGACCCTGATGGAGGGCTAGACCACAAAATAAACTGTTTCATGTTACTTAAAAACAGCAAAGTCATGCAACATTACTCCAGAGCTGTTACAGGTTAAAGCATGACAATAAATGCAACATGTGATCCTGGATTGGAACACGAATGAGAAAATTGGCAAAGTTTAAAAGTCTACAAATTAGGGAATAGTATGTTAGTTTCCATGTTAATTTCCTCGCTTTGGTTGCTATGTAGAAGACTCCTCATTTTTAGGAAATATGCAACTCAAGTATTGTATAAAGAAATAAAAAGAAGAAACAAGGCCAATCTTTGCCTTAAAGAGAAAGAGGAGTATAGCCAGTGTCTGTGAATGAAAAGGTAAAGTGTGAGCACCGAGCTATGCCCAGCCCAAGCCCTGGGTGTAGAGGAGGACTTCCTGTAGGAGGTGGAATTCAAACTGAGTTTTGAAAGAAAAGAAGTTAACTAAAAGATATGGGAAGATGGTCTGTTGGTAGAGGTCACACTATACAACAGGGACAGAAACGTGAGGCGCTCTGCCTCAGAGTTGTGCATGTAAGGGAGAATCTAGGTAGAGATTAGAGTTGTATGTTGAAGGGGTTTGAAGTCAGAATATAGGCACTTGGTTATCAAGGCTACAGTGGAGTCGGGGGG